TACCGGTACTTTGCGATGCAATTTGTGTCAATACAAACTGTAAGGACGCAAATTGTACTGCAAAGAAAAGCTTGCGATTTGAACAGGAATGCAATTCCTGTCCGAACTGCATGTGGCTCCACCACTGGTCCTTAGTGAATCCAGGCTTGTCACAACCTGTGTTCACACAAGAGCATTGCAGGAAACCTCCCTGAAACCGATACCATGTTCAGGGGAGAGTGGGAGAGAAGGGTGTGTGGGGATGTATATGTTGGTGTTGGCCATCAGGCAGAGGATGGAGGAAGATTTAGTGGCAATGATCCGGATTCTCAGCTGTAAACTTCGGTCTGCGAATTTGCACTGTTTTTCCTCCTATTTGCCGTATAGGAGTAGGAGAGAAAGCCATAGGGATTTCAAATCCCTGTGGCTTTCTCTCTTCTCCTTGCAGGGCTGACAGTACTGGCTAGACAGCTTTTGCTTGGTCAGCACTGACCATCATACTTATACAGTCTGTTACAGAGTAATAAGGCCCCCATAGATGGCTTGAATGTCTGCCAATTACTGCCGAGTCGGCTGAAATTTGAGCAGTGGGTGCCTCTGCAAGCACCACTTAGCTTGACAAAGGTCTATTTAAAAAAAAAAAACAATTCAGTTGGTGGAAAAATATTCACTGAAAAGCGACTGTATCCTAACAGATGCAATCACTGTTCAACAGCACCATAATATTAAGTGAGCCATGAGGGGTGCAATGTGTCTAAATACAATAGCCTCCAGTGGAGATTCCTTCATCCATGCAGTCAGTGAAGATGGTAGAATCAATTGATTTTCTCTCATTCAACCCCTGAGCCATAAATGGTGAGCTGTCAGGTATTTACGTGTTAACGTGCATTGCATAAAGGCAACCTATTCATGTAGAAGGAGAAGCCAATGCACAGCAATGGAAAAGTATAAGCAGCACGCCTCAGTGCATAGCATGTTCATTGTGGTGTGCTGCAGGATGCATATGTTGCAAGTTAAGCCTAGTACTCACGATCAGAAAATCATACGAAAAATACTGTTTTCAAGGCAATCGTACGATAATATTGATTGCTAGTACACAGCTTTCATCTAAAATTATTCAAAGGGACAAGTATGAAAATTTTACTTGTATGATAGCAGATCATACGATTTTCGTTTATTCAGCACAGTTTTCAAAAGAAAATACAATACAAATACAATACATTACATCACTTTAAAATCTTTATTCTGTAGTACAAGAATTTGAATTTTATTAACCTCTTCACATTCGATATGAGACTAGCATGCAAAAAAACAAAAAACGGACAATCATTCGTCCGATATTCTGATCGTGTGCACCCCTTATGATTAAGTCAATGACGAAACGTGTCAAGGGAGAGTGACGTCAAGACGTTTTACCGGAACCGGAAGTCGACCGGCGGCCATTTTTGAGAAGGGAAAAGAGCGTGTAGGAGTTCCTGGACGCTGTTCTGGATGGCTGTGAGGTTCCTTCCACTGCTTTAGAGCGATTTTACTATTATATAAATGTGAGCAGTTTGTGAATAAAGTTTATATTGTTAATTAGCCTGGCGGTATTATACTATGTTGGTCTATTTGCTTTCTTGGAGACATTGAGAGCAGAGTACCTGAGGATTCTAGAGGGTGTCGTGGTATCAGGATATACCTTTGATCCACAGAAAATCTGGCCCGTACAGTTCCTGGAGTGAGATAGGCATATGTTATGTGGATGGTTGGTAAGGGTACCCTGACTTAAATAGAAGTGTACACCGTCTCGAGGTGTTGTGTGGATTTTGCTGTGGCACAAAGGAATGTTATATATTTATTTTCACTGATTATTCACGATTTTTCACTTTTTTTCACTGATTTTTCACTTGGTTCACTAAGTCACCATATGATTTATACAGTATATAATCTATAGAAAGTGTATTGACGTATATAAAAAAAAGGGTAATGCACTATATAAATTTTCTTTTTTTGAGTTGGATGCGTTGAAAGAAGTGCTGTTCATCTTTTTGAAGTGGACTATTATTTTGTTTGTAGTGGACATTGATTATTTTTTTGGTGATAATTACTTTTTGGTGATAATGACTTTGAGGGATTTTTTTTTATTAAATTTTGGATGTTAGGTTTTTAACACTTTATTCACTATTATATGATTTATACATCTTCAGGGGAAGATGTTGATTGGAGTGTGGGGGAATTATATATATATATATATATATATATATATAAAGTAAATAATTATTTGGGAGGTGGTTGTTGTACAAAGGAACTGTATAAGCCTGTTGACAATTTCCGCTACCCAATGTAAATCCACATGAAAAAGTTTCCAGGCCTTAATTTATTTATGTACAGGATGTACCAGTGGTCTCTAACCTGAGCTCTGTTTTTTTTTTTGGTGTGGATCCAAGTAGCCTAAAATCAAGTGCCCAGGACCTTACTTTCTGAATATTTTCTACATTATAAGAACATAATTTAATTGTATTTTAATAAACAAGTTTGGCTTATAAGATGACTATGGTTTGAGAGCTTTGGCATGTACTGTACTCTAAAGGAATTTATTCCAACATTCCCAAGCTAAAAATGTTTAGAGAGCTGGTTTTCTTGAGAATAAAACATTTAAAGGCAATGTTCACCTTTAAGAAAAAAAATTAAATAAATGCATACGTTTTTGGAGGTAAAAAATGTCCATTTATTATTTGTTTTACACAGAAGCCTGCAATGTATTGCACCCTCAATATTTGGATCGCTGATGCAAGGTCAGGCTCCTACAGACATTTCCAGCTCTCTACCTGTACCTCTAAATGTGCTTTCTGTTGCTGAGCTGCAGGAAGTGTCAGTGCACTGAGAGCGCTGATCAGATCTGATATGTACTACAAATCCATCTGCAGCGGAGGAGGATGGGCCTTTTAGTTTATTCACTCACAGATCTCTGTAAAGGAATAATATGGCTGTGCAGGTGGAGCTGATTTAAAAAATTAAAGCGGTTGCGGGGGAGAGGAACCTCTGCATGCTGTCAAATGAGGGGCTCAGGGGGTGAGGGTTCAAAGGATTAGCAACATGTTACACTCACAACATGTTACTAAAGATGGGGATAGCCTTTAATTATTTTAAGCCACACAAAAAAATTAGTAAACAATAGCAGATGATTAACTTCATATTAAATTTTCAATGTTTAGAGCCACCTATATGTTACATTATGAGCCATTTAAGGCTTCTCAAAGCCTCATTTGAGCAGTTATTAGACAGAAAGTTAAAGTGAACTTGACCTTGCCTAAACACTGCTAACACAAGTACTTTGCAGGCACCACAAGGTATCTAACTTTCAGTACTGTGGCTACCTTGTCTAGCAAAATTTTCGTCTCCAAAATCCCAACTTAACCATAGATACACTGAGCATGTGGTTAAAGCTAAACTCTAGACACCTTTTCCTCCATTTAAATGAAAAAAGTCAATATTACCAAGATAAAGTTTCATGTCATATGCATTAAAATTGCCCTATAGTTGCATAACATTGTCCTACCTCTCCTCCATTGATAAAATCCAAGACAAAAAACAGCTTGTCTGATGTCTGGAACGAGTAATGAAGATGAACCAAGAATGGGTGCTTTACATTTTTCAGAAGAACATTTCTCTCTGCCATGATGTGTTTTTGCTGAAAGAATATGTAGAAATAATAAGTAATAGTAATAGTTCCTGGCTTAGGATACCTTCACTGAAAACCACATATTTTACAATTATCAGTGGGTCCAGCAATAACGGCAGCTACAGAAATAGTGATGTTGCTGTATAAACTGGTTTGACCATCCCCACCCAATCCTTGAGCTTCCCTATTGTTCTTTTATGATGGGCAGGCCTCCCTGACCAGTATTAAGTCTTGGGGAATTTGAGCTGGAAGGGCCAAGCTTAGCTGGGATTTGCAAATAACTTCAGCAGCTTACATCTCATTATCTACTGAATTCCTTCTCAAGCATTTTGCATGTTCAGTTTGCCATGGTTGTGACAAGATTACTTTATATTCTGATTTGTAGGTTAAATAAAATTTCAATTTGGAAATAAAATCCAGTTATATTCTTTATGTTCATAAATATAGATCAGATCACTGACTCTACACCTGTCTATAAAAATGTGTATATTAACTCACACAGCAAGGAATACAAGGAGGGCAGCAAACTGTGGTTTAAGGTGTTGGAGGCAGATGTGCTGTGCCCAACTTCCAATACGTATTGAGAGAGAATACCATAGCCAATTATAATGAACAGCTGTGAGTACATTACTGCTATATCAGAGCACTGGAAAGTAGCCAACAGCACCTTTGGTAATACACATCCATGTTTATTGGTAGTAATGATTCTTAGAGTTAGATGGGCTCATTCCTAACCTCTCTTTGACTCCTTGGAAGCCCAACAGTCACAAGCAATGCATAAAAGGACATAAAAAAACATTAGAAAGCAGATCTCCTACCGTACAAAGATATAGGGAACTTATGATATGAGGTTATGAGGACATACTGGAAATATTTGCTGTGGGGAAATTCTTGACACACAACTGACAGTGTTGTCGTTGTGAATGGTGATCCCTTAGAAAAAGTCAGTTGTGATCACTGAACAAATAGGTGAAAGAGGCAAAGAAAAATATGATATCAAGTACTCTCATGGCATTCAAGGAAAGCCCTAATTACAAATGCATATGATACATGATTTCCCAAATGCAACTTTTAACATGTCATCCATTTTTAAAATCTTAATGTGAAGTTTTTTCAACTGAAAAATCAGTCATGATCTGGCTTATATGTGAAAATTACAGAAGAAATTGGCTACATTCGCTCATCACTAATCTCCCTTCTGCACACCCCCTTGGTGCTATTTTTAATGGTTAAGTCAGTTACCACACAGAAACTTTAGTAGATACAACACAAATATAAACATGTCTACCTCTTTCTTGTTAAGAATAATTTTCTTCTGTAACACCTTCACTGCATAATAGCGGCCATCATGCTTCCCTCTTGTAAGAACAACCTACAATATTAATGAAAATTAAAGATTTGAACCCAATGCATTTCTGCTACAACCAACAGCTAATTTGTGACTCTCCCAACATATGTAAAACCACAGCTTGATCGTACAGGTTATAGTGGGACCTACAATTCTAGATGAAGTGTACGTTGACATGTTTATAAGCGATTCTCACCTTTCCAAAGCTTCCTTTACCAATCAGTTTGAGATATTCAAAGTCTGAAGGTTTTGCACTATAAAGAACATAAAAGCACAAACGTAAATAACTTTTGCACACACTCATAAAAATATCTAAGGCATATAACATCTAATGAATATATTTTGAGTTTTTATTGCAGTGTGTTACTTTAAAGTGTAACTTCACACAAAAGTGAAGGGTTGCTCATTCGCTCCCTCACCTCAGCCTGTAACCGAGTTGCAGGTTTTTTTTTTTTAGGGGGAGAAGAGAGTACCATTGTTTTGTCAGTACTTGCTCCCACTATCACAATCCTTGCCTTAACCCCCTTTCTGTTCACAGCCTTCTGGGACACATTACACGTCCCAAGAGGCTGTAGGACCAGTCTCCTTGCGCTGCACGATCTTGCGCATGTGCAGTGGAGAGCCGACACAGATTTATTAGGAAGTCACAGTATTCTCCCAAATCCAAGATGGTAGCACCTGGGACCTGTAGTGGTCAGAGAAATAGGTTGCATGAAAACAGCATTGGAATTCATGGACTGGTAAGTATCTGACTTTTACAAGTCAGCAGCTGCAGTATTTGTAGTGGATAACAGTTAGTTTTTCTAAAACTTTGTAAAGTTCCTCTTTAAGATATGTTTATATATCTTATATATCATATATAGAGGTTTTACTTTCATGTTTGCATCCTTCCTCTTCCATTTTTATTTTATTATCTATTGAGTGTATAGATCATGTTGATGAGCCATTACAGGAAGGGTAATTAGCTTCTACAATGACTAAGCCTAGCTGCTTAACAACATTTGAGATTAGATATAAGCCACATGGGTAGTGCATAGTTTTCAATTTGCTGGCCAAATTATACAGCTGCATAAATAAAAAGGGGCAGTAAGAAACAGTCATTGTGTAGCAAAGCTTGTATACTGTATCAAAGCTGGCCATAGATGGATCAAATTCAGCAGGGACTGGGTGAATTTCTGTTGAACAGGCTTGTTGGAAAATTGTTCTTGATCAGCAGCTGCAGCCACTAATCAGTGTATCGTGACAGCAAAGAAAGCCCCATCTGCCAGAATACAATATCTCAGCGGGGAGTAATGCTCCATCTACCTTGCTTGCATGGATCCATCTTTGGCCAGCCTTATTGCTGCCATGTGCATCTGCAGAGATGATCATTTTTTTGTTACCATATTGCCCTGTCACTGGCCTATTTATTCTACAAAAATTGGTAAATATTGCAATAAATAACAACATTGAATGCATTGTTTTGTGTAACCTCTCAATAAATGCTAAACAAACATTAGAAACTTACTGAGGGTTTCCAGAGGGCCCAAGGTTGACATTTTGTGAAGGTGAACCATTCTGTTAAAAAAACAAGTACTCTATTACATACCTCATTTTTCTGACATTGACTAGACAACAAGTGAAATCAGGCAATGAACCAATAGCACAATGTTACAATATTTGTTACATAGTGTTAAGTCAGAAAATCAACTCCATTTACATTCAAGGACAGATTTACCATTAGGTATTGTAGTTTGAGCCTACATATTGAAGAGGCAATAAGGGGCAATTTCCTTGTATAGTAATGGTCCACTCAGAAAAAAAGCTACACTTTTACTTAACTACTACCCATCCCACAGAGATGATGACTCTGTCCCTGCCACCATGTGACAGCACTGAGTGCCTGAATGGTAAATCTCCAAGCACCAGCACTGTCAAATTGACATAAGTCGATCAATAAATGTGTACAATTAGCCCTTCCATACATAGATCAAAATTTGTCCGGTCCCTGCTGAACAGGACAAATTTTGATCCATATATGGCCGGTTTAATACAGTACACAACAGAATCCCTTCTAACAACTAGAAACAAACATACAAATCTGTAAATTGTTGTTCGCACACAACCTATATTTTATCTAAAACTAGATTTTTAACATAAAACTATAATGGTTTTTGGTCAATTTTATTTTCCTCCTTCTTACATTTTTGGATTTGTAAATAGTCACTTTACATCTGTTTTCACCATCTACAAATCTTTGTACAGATGTATAATGACGTACTCAAGTTGGACATAAAGCCTCAACCTCTGCCTAAGTCGAGATCAAGGTCCATTCCTCTTTTGGGGCAAAGTCTATGCCTGTCATTCAACTGTTGAAACTTTAGTTGTCAGTAGAGGTGCTTGCATTTAAAATTTGAAAGACAGTGTGCAGATTGTAACACCAAGACAGGCAAGGCTTTAAGTGAGTTTTTGGATAGAATAGGGAAATATTAAACCCCGTCAGTTTACTTTTTGCTGTCTGTGTCACATTGGAACATTTACTTTTACTTCCTACTATGGAAGGACAACAGGAAGCCAGAGCAAATGTATATAACGTGTGGGGAATCCCCCTCTTACACAGTTATCTTTGAAACAGATGTCAACCATTGAAAGATTTCCCATCACTGCTTGTTCTGGTAACAACTCTAAGATTTTAGATTTCCCATCATTTTCTATCTCAGTGACAATGGTCAGCAGGACAAACATAGAGGATAATTATATCTTACAGGGACGCAGGGAGCAATAAAAACCCAACAGTGGTTCTACTATTTTCATAATTTATCCAAAAAAAAAGTTTTTGATTACAAATACATTGTAATCTGAACTAGGACAATTGGAATATTTGCACAGAAAACTGATCCCTTCCACAATGTATGAATCCTTAACGTCTATTGTAAATCTCAGCTTGTGCTATTGAGGTATGTAAACAACAATCTTTACAACAAAATAAAGTGTCAAAAGCAGCCTGCGCCTGAAGCTCAAGAGAAGAAAGCAATATATTTATATGAAATTTAAAAAATTACCTTTTTTAAAAATTATTTTTACAGCCTCATAGAAAACTTCATACAAAGCCACTATGCATACCCTTTAACACCATTTATCCTATGAGCAAAAATTACAAACTTATATGCAGCTCACTTCATATATAGAAATTACAGACTTTACACATTTACCCCTAGGCAGAAATGAAACTCACAATATCCTGAAGCTCAGGGTCAGTGGTTACAACTTCCTCCCCATAACCTCTCAAAAACAGAAATAAGAAAAAAACTCTTACATAGGAAAAATAAAAACAGATACATCAGTCTAGGCGAATGCAACTGAAATTGAATGCAAAAAGGAGGAACAGTTTGATTCTGACTTTACAACACCATCTCCTTAGGAAACAAATGTTTTGTATGAAATTTAATGTGTATTCATCCATTAAAACCAAAATGCCAGAACAATAAAGGGAAAATAATTGTGTGAATAAAGACCTAAAATGTGTGCAGATGGACAAAGTCACGTGGGTGCCATAAAGGTGGGAGAGTTTTGTTTACCTTCTGATCTGTCCTTTCATCTTCATCCTCTGAGGGATCGGACTGGTGTCTGGTGCAGTCCAGCTTAAGGAATGACTGGACGTCAGGGCTGTAATCAACAAAAGCACACTGTGACTTAAGAGTCTCAAGTTGCTGTATTTTCACACGCCTTTGCTTTAAGCCGCACACAAATTCGGTGCACTTATCAAAAATCTTTGTGCATTTGTATTATGGCCAGGCCTGACTTAAAATGTTTCTAAGGTTACAACAGTGTTGGTATTTCATGCAAGTACCCATGGCGGTCTTCAACACAATGCCTGTGCCCCTGCGGATCCACCTGGATTCTATGCCCAGACTAAACATGGAGCCTTGACCTCTGACCAAGTCAAGATGAAAACCCACCCCTTTTAGTGCTAAGCCCCACCTCTGTCACTCAAATATCAACAGCTGTGACTAAAGGCAGCCTTTAAAATGCTATGTCTCTGCCGTAACAAGACAAACTTACCTTCCTGCAGTTTTCTATTAAATGTACAATATACAGTGTGTGGCTGTGCCAGAATGACTGACTCCCGTGCACATGCATGGGATCACATCATCCCCACTGGCCAATTAAGAGGTCAAAAACCCGGCACCTAGAAGTAGCCTGGGAGAAAATGACAGAGGCTGGAGAGGGATGTAATTAACTGTTGCATTGCTGGAAGGTGGAGGGGAGTATCCTGAGTTTAGTTCTGCTTTAGATTGGCTCTGGCATTTGATATTTGAATGAAAGTGGGCAGGGTGTAGCTCCATCAAGGGCAGGACTTAATTCTGATGTTGGTGAAGCTAAAAGTTGAGGCTCAGTGTACAGTCTGGGCCAAGGATCCAAGGTACTCTACTGGGACCTGGGAATAATAATTGCAGACACCGTATGCACTTCAGTGCTCTTTCTACCTTAGCAATGTTTTAAGCAAAGTAATTTTTTTTCACAAGTAGAAAATGTTTATTGAAGATAAGATCAGTCAAGTACAACTAATGCAGCGTATTGTCACATGCTAATAATTGAGGCAATAAAAGTATACCCCATCTGTACCATTATACAAAACCCTTTTTGAGAGGACTATACCCAAAGGTTCAACATGCATTCCAAACTTGATTGAGTATAAACTATAGGAAAACAGAGCTGAAGCCATGTTAAACAAACACCAAAGAGGCAGTTTGCATGGGAGAATGTGGGTTGATATCTTTACATTCTCAGGTCTGCGAGGAGGTAAACAGGAAACAAAAGAAAAAGGTTGAGGGGTGAAAAAGGGGTCAAAGAAAAAGAGAAGACACACAATAAAAGGGGAGGAAAAGAGAGAAGGCAGGCACAGAAATCAAATATCATGATATCCATTAAATTGAAACTTGATGTAAAAAATAAAACTGGGAGAGATTTTTAATACAGAAGAGACATGCTTTATCTCCTTGTAAGCTACCCGCCTGTCCACCCCTGTACACTGACGGCATATCTGTGTGGTCAATGAAAGTGGGCAGTGAACGATATCCAGAAGCAAGCTACTAAAAGATGTCAGCCACTAGCGGGGAGTCCCAGGGTGTTGCATCGCTGGACCGAAGGCGAGTATAGTTACTATTTAAGTAAAAATCCTCTCGGCAGTAGGATTCCCTTGGTTCAGATAGGTGGGTTAACCTGAACCCCAGGAGTCTATCCAGGTGGACCATATCTTTTTAAATTTCTTGGGGCAGTTACTACTCGCGTAGAGACTAATTTATACATCGGTGAAGCGTTATCGATGGTGGCACACCATGATGCTACAGTTGGGGAGGTGAGGTGACTTCCACTTTAAATGAATCTCTCTGCGGGCATAAAAGGTAGCAGATAAACAAGCTAAACAGCTGGATATGATTACCCAAGTCCATTCAGTCCAAGATACCCTACAGGATTATTTGGTGTCCAAACCAAGGGTTAAAGCACAGAACCTATTAAGGTCAGCCAAAACCGCCACCCAAAAAGGTCTAGGCCAGGTAAGGTTTAGTTTAACATTTTTATTGTGTGTTGACCCACATTTTACACAACCTTTGTTTCTTTTTTTTCCCTTTTGTCTTTTTTCTTTCCATGCTTTAGATGTAAGATACATATTTTTGTGATTACTATATACTGCTATGAGTGTTAAAGTATGCATTTTTTGCAGTAAAACTGTAGCATATACAATTCTTAAACACTCCATGTCAGTGGTGGTGTGAGCTATATACACAATTAGATTCATTTCCCAGAGTTCTACAGTTTACCCGAGCGCATATGAAAATGTTATAAATGTGGGGCAATAACTCTTGGGACTCCTAATTTGCCAGCAATGTTATTGGCCATTTAAAAAAAATAATAGATACATTCTAGAAGCCAAAGAAGCCAGGGAATTAATGAATACAGGGATGAATGAAAAAACGTGTAGTGTGTTTAAGCATTGCCGTGTGCAGTGGAAGCAGCACCATGTGATGTAACTTTATCTCACATGACATGACATGACATGAAATGTAGGAAGTGACCTTCTCTCTTGGATACACACACAGATATTGTGTCATGGTGAGAGAAAAACACAGCCCTAAACTGCAATATTAGCCTCGAAATACTAACTCCCCCACAGAATTATTGAGTGTTGGGATAGAAGACTTGTAGCCTTACAAAAAATAACTATGGAAAATAAAATTGTAACTGGATTGTTATATGTATGCAGCTTTTGCCTGCAGTAGAGGTACTTTGTAAAATATTTGGAGATTGGATCCTGCCTTGGCATTTGATTATACTTGAATGGCTGTCTTCAAGAGAACCGGCTACTATTGGATTTATTCAAGAATCTGAATGTTAAGTATTAAAATATAAATTTGTGCCCCTTTTAAAATATATTCTATTCAAGCATGTAATTAATAAAATGAGCAGTGATCATTCTATTCTCCCTGTGTGGACACCCCCCCCCCCTTCCCGGAGGAGAACACAATAGCTGACTGTGTTGATGGGGGAATCGAGTGATTTTCTTTCCTGCAAAAAAAATCACATCATCTATGGCCAGCTTAAATCTATAAGTGTATGGTCAGCTTTATAATAGAGTGTTTAAAGTGGCGTTCCAGCTGAAAAAAAAGATCAGCAGCAACAAAAACTGTAGCTGCTGACTTTTAAAATACAGACACTTACCTGTCCCTCGATCCAGCAGTGTCCTCACCAGCCGTCTTGTCTCCCCCCCGGTGCCGGAATCTTCAGTGTGGGCACCCGTATGTGACAGCTTGTGGCTTCACTGCGCAGGTGCAAAAAGCACTGCGCTTTGTGAATAGCCCAGTAGTCTTCTGGGACCTGTCACGTGTTCTAGAAGACTATGGGGGGGGGGGGGGGGGTAGAGAGGGGACAATTTCCGCTTCTGATCGCCTAGGCAATCGCAGCAGAAGTGGGAGCTGGTACCTGTAAAATTTGGGTACCCGCTCCCCAAAGATGCCAATCCTTAGCTGGAGCTCCGCTTTAATGAAAGTCTTGATGCTTCCTCATTGCTCTGCCAATGCCCTGAACTCATGCTGATAACATCCACTGTCTCCTGATTGTGCATAATATTATCACATTACAGAATCCAACAGCTACAAGGATCTGTGCTTAATAATCTTATGGTTACTTACCAGAGCTGAACAGTGTGTGCAATCAGCATGTGTTTAGGCAGGAACTGCTAGATCATCTCTATCCTCATTCTACCAACGTAGATAAATAAGGGTGTGAAACAATCCTTCACAGGTAAGCATGCACTTTTATAATAATGTATGACTTAAGGTTACGATCCTGCTTGACCAGATACAGCCATAACCCTGGGCTACATAAAACCACATTACTAAATCACAGATCACTTCAATGTTATTCGATGATCTCCTACATATGTTTGCGAATAACCGGACTACCCATATTGGTGCTTATTTGCCAGCCTTTAAGTAGATTTTACAATTAGATTGCAACTCCCAGAATGCAGGAAAGTTTCTATCACAAATACAACAAAATACCTAAACTAGAAAATTATAATATGGATTTAAATGAAAATCTCTCCTTTGAGTTCATTTATCATACATGTTACTTATTATCCAATAAGAAACTAACATTTTCTAAAAGATGAACAACTTTTGTTACTCCAGTAAATTGTACAAGTTCTCCCTAAATTCTTTCACAGCACTATGGAAACAAAGGAAAAATCAGACTAATTCCCAATATATCTCAAGACCTCCATGAGGCCCTTTATTTTCTTCTATTTACTCCACCCCTACTACTCAACATAGGAACTCAGAATGACCAGAAAAAGACATTATGGAAGTAAAGTAAACAATCTTTCTACCAGTAAAGGGCTTAATTAAAGATGGAGTGAAATATTAGCAAAAAAGAGTTAACCACTGCAACTGACAAACCCACCTTTTTGATGTGACTTCAATGAAATTCAAATAAAATCATTGTTATAGGATGTGGCACCATGCACAACATCATTGTTCTTTGCACTGACCTCCTAATTTAGCCCATCAGTCTATTGGACAATGTATGGAAACACTAAAACTTCAAATGATAAGTGCCACACTCACTGAGGGCTAGTGACTTTTAGGAACTTTGATCAATATCTAAAAAAGTAAACGAGACAGAATATAAACGATACTCACTATAAATAGGAGTCCCAATCCATCTGGGATCATGTCATACTGCATGGAAGGAAAAAAAAAAACATCTCCTAATCAGACTAACTTTCAACTGTCTTTGGTAAGCCTGTAACTGAAGATGTTCAGAATGAGACAATCGCTCCCACTACCCTGAGTTTTATGATCTCCAGCTACACATCCCCCATCCTTCAAGGGAGGGAGAAGCACTGATAAAACAGATTAGGTTTACACATTACATAGGCAGAAGGACTTCCCAAACTGGTTCACTTTCTAGCTTTGTTCATGCTAAATTAAGACAACTTGGAGGTACTATGCACATTGTGTAAATATCACATTGTCCTGAGTCATTGTTGATACTGGACAAAAAATTTAGGTGGTACGAAGCTAAACCAATCGAGTATTAGGAAACAACAATTCAAGTCTCATCTGTAGACATTCTACCAATAAACAAATAAAAATATCTGAAAA